CAGATATCACCCAACAGCCATGCTTTCGACTTATGTAAATAAAATACCAACTTTGTTAAAAAAAATCATTGTGAATCTGTTAAGTTACATTTTCCATCATGCATTATTGGTCAAACCAATTACACGACGTGTTCACAAATAATGATATAACATTGTAACTATTTATAAAATATCGTTTAATATAATAATACGTCAGGTATATATCTATTTTAAGACAAATACCAGTTTCATAAGCAAATTGACCTTTGTTGAAGGTGAGGTTGCTTATAAGAGTCTTTTACAAAAATACCCCTGGCACCGTCCAGTAATTTCTTTTTAAGAGGCTAATGGAAATGGGCATGTATGACCGGAAGGAAACAATGTTTTTGCTTACAAACTTTCATCAATTGACATATTTGTCCTTCCATCAACGCTTCACAAGTTCACATGTATATAATGGCTAAAAATACACTCCAAAGTAATCACGACTGTCCCATGACCAGGCTATTGTATATTTATTTATACTTATCTATATCTATTATATATAGACATTCGTTTGAAACTATTAGTACAGTTTAAAAGTTTTTTTTATTTATAATATTTATAATTTCAAACTTAAAGTAATTTTTTATTTTGAACCGGCGAGAATTTTATTAAGGCAAGGTGCCAAACAAGCCACAAACGAGAATCCAATTTTTTTTTTTTTGAACCGACAAATACAAATATATAAATTTACTCCTAATCTAACATCTAATACCACCTATGTCCACAACGGGACTTGAACCCTCGACCTCAGAGAGGGAGGACACCACCTGATACCGCTGGGCTAGAAGCCCTTTGGTAAACGAAAATCTAATACATCATGCAATGTAGGGGGACTTAAAGTAATTAATCATCAAAACTAAGAGCTTCTAACGTATGGATATTAGTCAATAATGACTATTTGTTTTCCTCTTATTTATACACATTTGAGCTAGGTGAATAGTATATATAACTAAGTTTTTTTTTCACAAAAACATCCATTTGAAGAGATATTTTATTCAAATACGAAGAGTTGTAAAAACGAGATTTGTCGCATCAATAGTTAGTTACTACAACACATATTTTTCTTCCGATAATAGTGTTTTTATATATCAAATGTATATATTGATTTCTATATTTTTTTGTATAATTTATAAGTGTTTAATAAGTTTTTTCATACAAATATTATAATAGATGTTGTAATGTTTTTATGTTATTAAAATTTATAGTATTTTTTCAAAGTACTTGTTATTTGTTATATATATATATATATATATATATATATATAGATATATATATATATATATATATATCAACATACGTATTAATATACAATTTACACAATTTGATACGGTCAAAAAATCGTCAAAAGTTATACTATTTATTTTATCATACTATTTGTTATTCATTATATATAAAAATGCATAAAAGTTTTATATATATACAATTTACACAACAGTTCTATAAAAATATCAATTAATAGTCATAACCAGTTATTTAAAATGATTGCGCTTAATAAAAGTGTACTTAACTATGAGTTTGCGTTGCTACTAACATTTATTTTTTCATGTATAATATTCAATAATAATTTGTTAAAATTTATTATTTCTGTATAATTATACTTTCGTGCAACGTGCGGGGATTCCCCTGCTCTCTTTCTCTCTCTCTCTCTCTCTTTCTCTCTCTCTCTCTCTCTATATATATATATATATATATATATATATATATATATATATAATATTCATCATTTTTTAATATCTACCCAAACTGATATTCGATTTTTTTTCACATCAGTAGAAAAACGTTTTTTGTGAAAAACAAATTCAACAAATCACCTTCTATAGTAGTGTTTAACTTATTAAGATGTTTTTCATCTGTACATTAATGTGTATATGGTGTATATTTTACCTATTTGTTTTTTGAATATCAATAAAAGAGGTTAAAAAAATTATGAATTAACATATTTTTAGTATTTTTTTTCGATATAAGATAAGCTCAAAAACAATGGTTGAAAAATTATGCACGTTTTTTTGAAATTTTTATAGATATCTTTATTTTAAAAAACGTTTTACTCAGCTAGGACGATGTTATAGAAGGTGCGTTTTTGAATATATATATATATATATATATATATATTCAATTGAAATGTGCATATGGTGCAAAAATATTTATGAACTTATATATTTTAATTTTTTTTTTTGATAAAATATAAGATTTAAAACAATGGTTTAAAAAGTGATCCTAACGGAATTTTACTTTTTCTCTATCCCTCTCTCTCTCTCTTTCTCTCTCTCTCTCTCTCTCTATATATATATATATATATATACACACACACACACACACATATACAAAGATTTTCTAACGAAAAGTCGGAAATTGCACTGGTAGAACTCCGAATCGAGAGCTTCTCATTGTCGAGCCTAGATACCCAGAGCTTCGCTAGAAACTTAAAAATAAAAAGAATTTCAAACCAAAGTAGTGAGAAATTCGAGAGAGAGAGAGAGAGAGAGAGAGAGAGAGAGTGTGTGTGTGTGTGTGTGTGTGTGTGTGTGTGTTTGGAAGATGCGAGGGATCAAATGGGACATGCTGCAGTATTATAGAAGAAATATCGAAAAGGCTCGTCGCGCCCAGACCAGGAGCGTGCCGCGCCCTGGCTCTGCTCAGTCACCCTCCTCGCGACACGTGGCATGCATAGACTAGTTCGACGTGGCTGGCTTTTAGAAGCGTGTGTCACGCCTCTCGCGCACGTGCAGATTTTTAGATTTTTAAAAACTCTAATCTTCTTCATACGAACTCCGTTTTCGACATTCTTTATATCCACACGTAGCTATCGACGAGTACTACAAGTTTAATTAAGACTCTGTCGGCTAACTCTCACTTTATTTTTAAATTTTTATTTTTAACAAACTTAGACTGTTAAAGGCCGTATAAAAGTCATAACTCTCTCATACAACATTCATTCTCATTTATATCGACAGACTCCTATTCACGAGATCTTCGGTTCTCGATTAGATTATTTTGGCTAAAAATCAACTGATCTAAGTTTCGATTTTTGTGCTAACACAGTTGCGCTAATATTTCGAAAAATCATAATTTCCTCGTATGAAGTCAAATTTGGAGGTTCTCTATATTCACGAGTTCGTTTTTACGATTACTACGATTTTTTTAGATTATTTAGGCTAATAAGCAACCTATCTCCAATTCACTATTTACGAAACTCATTGTTGTATAGGGTTGAACGCTAAACTTCGACGAATCATAACTTCTTCATACGAAGTCCGATTTAGGTGTTCCTTATATGTACGTAATCACCATCACGACTAATACAACTTCTGTTTAGATTAATTATTCTAAATAATCTTTTATTTTTACTCTTATTTTAGCTTTAATTATTATGTTATTTTATAAACTTATATATACACATAAATCGCGTATATTAAAAAAAATCTTTCATTTATTCGTGTAAAGATTATAATTGTTGAACAACGTCGGTTACATATTCTATTAATGACTAGAGAGAAACGTGAGCATTACAATTATCTCCCCCTTAGGATGATTTGTCCTGAAATCAGGCATTAGCAAATAGATGTGGATTGTGACTCCTCATTTCGCTTTTTGTCTCCTGGGTGAGGTTCGGCCCCACCGTATATTTCCATCGCATAAGCACTAATTCGATCATCTTACGTCTAACTTCTTCGTCTTTCGGTCAACAATCGCTTCATGCTCCTCAATCAACATTTTACTTTCATCGATCCTCATCTCCGAAAGTGGGATCACATCGGGAACTTCTCCAATGAATTTCCTCAAATAAAAAACATTAAGGGTGTTATGAATACCTTCCAGTTCCTCAGGAAACTCTAGCTTGTAAGTTTGATTCCCAATTCTCTAAAGAACCTTGAACGATCCAATGAACCTTGGAATTAGCTTCCATCTATTTCCAAATCTGATAAGTGTTGGATTAATGTGTCTAAGATCCTAAATAAATTGGTATGATGTTGATAAATAAAAGTAAAATCCTTTTTGGGTTGTCCTCATAACCAATAAATTGCTTAAATTGATTATTGGAGAGAGATAAATGATTTATTAATATATTATATGATTAATATATTAATTACAAATAGTTATAATTTATGTAGAATTGATTTGGAATTAATTATGCGTTAATTAAAATTAATTAAAGGTGGAATGACTAAAGTTATAATTGTTCAAAAGTTTACCAGATGAGAGGTTCCATAACCTTAACACTACTAGAAAAACAGCCTTTTACGACGCGCAATGCGTGTCGTAAAACGCTCAGACGACGCGCAAATGCGCGTCAAGAAAGGCCTTGTCATAACAAGGCCTTGTCATAACGAAAGACGACGCGCATTTGCGCGTCGTCTGTTTACGACGCACATTTATGACGCGCATTTACGACACGCAGTTATGACGCACAATGCGTATCAAGGAAGGCCCTGTCATAAAGAATGACGACACGCATTTGCGTGTCGTAAACTTACGACACGTGTGTTTATGACACGCAAAGCGTATCAAGGAAGCCCATGTCATAAAGGCAGACGACACGCCATTGCGTGTCGTAACGTTACGACGCGCCTTTACGACTCGCAATGCGTATCATTAAATCTACTGTCATCAACGAAGATGACACACTTTTGCATGCCATAAATTCCAGCTACCAGTTACTATACACCTTTACGATGTGCATTTACGACGCACATTTACAACGTGAATACACATAATAAAAGTCAAATATATATACCAAAACATTCATTTTCATCTAAACGTCAAACAACTTACCTAACAACATTACATATATGTCGAATTACCTAAGTTACACTACATGTCAAGTTACCTTAAGTAACATTACTAAAAGTTAGCAAAAACATGTACATGCATGTCAAAAGACTACCTAGCATTACACCACATGTCAAAAGACCATACCTAGCATTTCACTGTTAACCATAACATTGTTTTGCGAATACATTGTCAAAAGACCATAATCATCGATAAATGAAGCCTGTAATAAACTCTGACCATTCTTCACGTATCTCATCGATATCATCAGTTGTGTACTCAACTTTGCCATCCCCGATCTGTGAAAAAATTTGCATATTGTTTTTATTAATAAAAAATAGCATATTAACATATTTTGTAACAGTAAGTTGCTATATTTTAAAAATAAGCATAAAATGTAAATTATTCTTTCTTAATAGAGCATTGTACTTTCAAATGAATGAAAGCACATTTTATTTTTGCATGTAACCTAATATTTCAATTATAATTGTGAGAGTAGGATGCCATAAAATGATCCTTTTTCAGTTCCTTTCCTATTAAATTATAGTAATGAAAGTAGAATGTTATATCCTTACATTGTCTTTGACCAACACTTCAATTCCTTCTTCCACTATCTCCTTCATGAACCTTAGCATGTAGTAGCCACATTCGGTAGCTCCGGGCTGAACTGGACACTACACAATTACATATAAAATGATCATTGCAATTGATCCAAAAAAATAAAGTTAAAACTACAATTTCAATAAGGAATTAAGTGTTGACCGTAACATTAACCCAATTTAGTTTAACCCTTTTGTTGGATCCACTTTGTGTAGCGTACAGAACCATTGCCCTATAAAAAATATTAACAAATAGGTGTTTATTGTATTCACATCAACTGTGTTGATAATTTATATTACTTACGAATCAACAATTTGCTTCAACTGCATATTGAAATTGCTAGAACTCAAGGAATCAAGATAATAGCAATTATCCGATTTCATGTCTAGTACACCCAATACCCAATGTCTTCTACAAAAACCACAAACAAAATTAAGTCAAATAACATAATTGTAGTCATTTTCAAAATAAAATGTCAAAATCAAACCCGGGATTGTAGGGCATAAAGATGATGTCATTGCCCTTTCTTTTAGACAACCGATCTGCTAAACCTCTGCTTGCATCGTCAATATTCTTAGATTTCCCTTTACGCGTACTTGGCGAGATTAATGTCGGGTTCACAAAGCAAATTCCATGATCTTTTTCTGGGGAGCCATTCTTCATTTTGTTAAACAACACCCTGTTATCATACAAACACTAAATTAATTAAACAAATTTTGTTTTAAGACACAATGATATTTAAATTAAATTTCTTGCACGTACATCATATAAGACACAATAACAACACCAGTCAGCTCATCCATTGTAAGAACTTCTTCAAAATCATCCCAAGTTAAGTACGTGTAACTATCGTACCCAAAAAAGATCGTTCTCACTCTGCACTTTTATAGAATCAACCTTTGTAACTTGTCCATCAGCCATCATTGCAGTCATTTTCAAAATACTACTCTTCTCAATCCTTATCCTTGTCTTCATCTGTGCTCTGGTCCACCTTCTTTGCAAGGTCACATTTTGTTTCTCCTTCTTTTTAATCTTCTTTTCTATTCCATTCCCTTCTTCCATATCATCCACTTCTTCCACATCACATGGTTCTTTTTGTTCATCAACCATTTTTCTTGTCCCCTTTTCTTTCTTATTACTTCCTATTTCTTCTTTTAAAGGTGTTGCACCCTTCCTTCACTGGTGGTGCATGTTTCTTCACTGGTGTTGCATGTTTCTTCACATGTTTCCCCACCACTTTTCCCTACAAAAATTATCAAAAATATAGAATGAAACAGGAATCATTTACTAAAGCTGAAAAAGAACTCACTCAAATATCAGAAAAAATAAGAAAACCAAGGGCAAATCTGTGAAAACTTTGTATGTTTTAAATCTGTGAAAATTACTAGGTCAGAGCATCGAATAACTAAGTGTCTTGGCCAACTTAGTATGTGTCCCAGTGCATCTTTGACCTTCACAATGAACTCCTCTTCAAGTGGAATGGGTATTAAAGCTTCTCCTTGTAAAATTGTTTCCATCATAACTTCAATGTTTTCATCTGTTACATAAACGAAAAAAATAATTAAGATCCAATCTTCTAAAAAATGAAAATATATAAATAGTAATAATGCAAATATTTGTCAAAATACCCGATGCACTATACTTCATTATGGTTCCTTTAGCGACTACATTTGCAGCAAATTGAACCGCAAGAAGACATGAATTATCCTACCAAAATATAGTATGTTAGTTAGTAGAAAAAGAAAATTATTTAAATATATTTTTCATAATTGTCTTCAAGGACTTACAAGTGATTCATCCCGTGGTTCTTTTTCAACATCTTCAATGACGCCCCCTACTTGGCAACTTGCGGCTTCAGAAACATTACGTACACCTCTTTTTAGTTTCTCCAAGTCATCTTCAAGTTTGTTGATTCGTTTATCCACCCTCTCGTTCTCAATCTCCAAGTAATACTTAACATTTTTGGGTAAATAAAAGTATTGTTGTGGCGTTATAAATTTACCCATCCCTCGTACACGCCCACGTTGTTCCTGAGTACCCCTGGCCTCTGTAAGCACATCATGTGTTCCACATGTAACCGCTCCAAAGCTTCCAGATTTCTGCAGCTCATCCTGTAAAAAAATTAGGACAAATGTTAGAAAAAAAAATGGGACAAATGTTATTTTTTTATATATATTTGGCATTCAATGAAACTTACAATTTTATCAACAATCATCTTGACATCTGATTCGTATCCTCCTGTCTTCAACTCTCTTGCTTTTTTCCACAACAGTGTCCTATCAATCTCCTCTTCCGTCTTGCCGGTTTCTTGCATCTAAATTATCAAGAATAACAAAGTCAATTAACATAAATATATACAAATAAAATAATCAATACTTAGTGGGAATCATACGATGTCATTAATGAGTCCGACATATCCTTTTCTGCTCAAATGATGATTGTATTTATGATGTGCACGGGTGTTTTTAGCTTTTGTACTTTTCTCCTGCATTAGAAACATTAAAATTGTAACTACAAACTTTTAACTTTCCACTTTTTTGTAATTCTATGGGATATAAATGCATATAAGAAAAGTTTAACCAACCTCCCACTTTTTTGTAACTCTATGGGATACAAAAACTTTCCAGTCTTCTTTCTTTATAAACGGATAATCTTTCGGAGTTTTGAATAGATTTGCCTTGGGATCTTTACTTCGGTTCTTAATGAACTAGGCATATAGATAATGCTTGAAGTTTCTGCACTTCTTCCCGATCGATTGGAGAGTTTGCTTCCGACTCTTTGGGTCAACTACAAACTTTTCCTGAAACATAAAAAAAGGGTTGGTTAAAAAACAGATTTAAACAGGGACAAAAAACAAGGACAAAAACAGAAACAGGGACAAAAACAGAAACATGGACAAAAACAGGGACAAAAACAAGTAATAACAAGAAGAAACAGAGACTTACCAAAACATATTGCCATAACCCTTCCCTTACTTCTTCACTAACTTCCAGCCAAGACTCACAGGTTATGGGAACCATTGTTCTTGCAACCAAACCCTCAAAACTAGACAGTTTTGTGGCTTCCTTTCCAACCGGGACACCTTTTTTATTGTAAGTTATTACAAGTTTCACTTTATTAGCTTTTGCCTTTGTTGTCGGACCTCTTTGTTTGGAGTCTTCATTGTGATCAGAAGCTGAATCCGATTCCATGTCACAAAAACACAACCTGTTTCAACAAGATTCAAATAAAATTAAGTACATTGTTATTTGTTGCAGTTGGAAAAAAATTAATCACATTCAAAATCTGAAATAAAAACATACCAAAAACTTTATTATTCTGCAAAAAAAAAAATATTTAAATTAATATGCCCTCGCCATCCGGGCGCGTACACAAAAAATCATCATCAAGGTCTAATAAAGCGGAGTCTTGTGTTAAATCAAAAGTAGCATCAAATTCCAACATATCATCAGTTTCACCATTTGATCCATACTTGTACATCCTATGTGGTGTGAATCCAACAACATGCAAATTCTCATCTTGTTGATCTTGAACATAAAAAACCTGTTTGGCTTGACTAGCTAATACGAAGGGTTCAGACTTCTGACCAAGTCTATCAAAGTTAACTACCGTGAATCCTAAATCATCCTTTTTTATTCCACGACTATCAACCCAATCACACATGAATACAGGAATAGTAAACATGCGATAATCAAGATCCCATATCTCCTTTATACGACCGAAGTAAGTAACAGCACCATACACAGGATTGGAGTCTTATGCACTAGCAATCTGCATAGTATGTGCAACTAAAGATACTCCACTGCATTGAGTTGTTCTAGACTCATCTCGAGATGTTGTATGAAAATGATACTCATTTATGGCAAAACCGCTATATTTACTAACAACAAAATTAGGCCCTTTGGCCAACCAACGAACATCATCACAAATATCTTCCCCGTTAGCCAAACGTTTTTCAACCTATTAGAAAAATATCTAATTAATGTAATTCAAACAAAATAATTAAAAATATTATAATAATTCTAACAATCTTATTTTAAAAATAAACCTCTTTCTTAAACCAACTAATAAATGTCCGACTATGTTGGCTCTGCAACCATGTACTTTTGCGAGCGTGACGAGGGTTCAGATCCTTCAATTCCAACATATGTTGCCTGAAGTGTATTACAAGTTAGAAGAATGTTTTATATGATAGATAATGGTATAAGAGTATACAGTTTCATGTAATTCTTACTCTATATACGACTCCACAACAGCAGTGTTTCGTAATACATAAAGATGAGCTTGATCAAGTAACTGAGCATCTACAACATCGATTGTAGCCTTCGATAAAGGCTTGCCGCTGCGGATTCTTTCATCAACACGTTCATGAGGATTGCCAATTGATTTCGTGTTTTTTAAGTAGTCTGACCAAAATTCTAAGGCCTCCTCCGCCACATAACACTCTGCAATGCAACCCTCGGGTCGATGATGATTTCTTACATACCCTTTAAGTGTTTTCATGTATCTCTCAAATGGATAGATCCACCTAAAATGAACTGGGCCACACAACCTCACCTCTCTAACTAAATGCACCATCAAGTGAGTCATGATATCGAAAAATGAAGGAGGAAAGTACTTCTCTAACAAACATAATGTTAATACGATGTCACTTTGCAACTTGCCTAGCTTACTAACATCAACAACTTTACTACATAGCTCATTGAAAAAATGACACAGGCTTAGGATTGTTCTCCGCACCTTCACATCTAACACCCCTTTGATTGCAAAAGGGAGAAATTGTTGCATTAGTACATGACAATCATTAGACTTCAAACCATTCATCTTTGAAACATCATCCGACACGAGATTCTTGAAATTAGAGCAATACCGATGCAGAACTTTTATGTTAGACAGGGTATCATAAAATAGATGTTTCTCTGCGGAATTCAATGTGTACTTGGCAGGCGGAAGCCAATGTCGATCCCCTTTTGCTTGAGGTCGTAATTCAGTCTTAATGCCCAACGCTTCAAGATCTTGTCGTGCTTTTAATCCATCCTTCGTCTTGTGAGGCAAATTCAACGCTGTCCCATAAACACTCTCGGTCACATTTTTTTCTATGTGCATGAGATCTAACTGATGGCGAACAAGCAACTTCTTCCAATATTCAAGTTCAAAAAAAATCGACTTTTTATGCCAAAATTTAGATCTCTCGTCGATACTTTCTTTTTTCTTCTTTGAATTTTCCTTCTTTGGCGTTTCCTTCTTTGACGCTCCCTTCTTTGACTTTATCCTCTTTAACTTTATCTTCTTTGATCCTACCTTCTTTGACTTTATCTTCTTACCCCATGTAGTCTCAAATCCCGCCAGATAGTCATAAATATCTTCACCTGATGATGGTTGTGGCATAAAATCGTGCTCATGTTGATTGTTGAAATGTTTTTTTCTTTTACGAAAAGGATGTTCAAGTGGTAGGAATCTTCTATGCCCAAGGAAGCATACTTTTTTGGACTTTGGCAACCATTGTGAACAAGTATTCTTTGAACATATTGGACAAGCATAATAACCTTTGGTAACACACCCTGAAAGATTACCATATGCGGGAAAGTCACTTACAGTCCAAAGTAATATTGCTCTTAGATTGAAGTATTCTTTCTTATAAGAATCAAAAGTCTCAACGCCAGTTTCCCACAAGAGTTTCAGATCTTCTATCAATGGTGCCAAGTAGACATCAATATTGTTACCAGGTTGGTTTGGCCCGGATATCAACAGAGTCAACATCATGAATTTTCTTGACATACACAAATAAGGGGGTAGATTATATGTTATTAGGATAACCGGCCAACAACTATGCTTGGAACTTAATGACTTGTGAGGATTGATACCATCAGCAGACAAGGCTAATCTAAGATTTTGTTTTTCTTGTCCTAATTCTTTCCACGTGTTATCAACAAGCTTCCAAGAAGGGGTATCGCGAGGATGAGTAAGCTTCCCATTATTGACCCGACCTTGTGCATGCCAAGTTAAGTCATGTGCAATTTGTGGTATTGAAAACATTCTTCTAAATCTAGGGATGATAGGAAAATACTACAAAACTTTTGAAGGTACGTTTTTGGTATTCTTCTTCCAACGAGAAGTGCCACAAGTTGGACATCGAGAAGCATCTTTATGCTCTTTCCAGAATAGAACAAAATCATTTTCACATGTATGAATCTTCTGATATTGTAGACCTACTCCTTTTAGCAACTTCTTGGACTCATATATCGAGCTAGGGATGGTATTGTTTGATGGTAAGATATCTTTTAGGACAGACAACAAAGCATCAAAACTAGCATCAGACCATCCAAACTGACCCTTCAAATGTTGGAATTTCAATAATCCACTAAGTGCATTATACTTTGACCCTACATAAAGTGGCTTATCACATTCTTCAAGAAGTGTTTTCAATGAATCAGGTTCTTCGTCTATATATTTGAAGGCATCATGTAGCATATCCTTTATTTAAATAGCTTCAGGAGGAATGTAATTGTTAGGGCATCTAGAATCACTCTTGGGTTGTTTTTCTCCATGGAAAGACCAAATCTTATAATTTTCATCGAAGCCATGGGCAAACAAATGATAGCGGACATTGTCAATTGAGTGGTTACATAAATTGATGCAATTTACACAAGGACATGGAATAACATCTAAGTTTGGATTATTTCTTTATGCAAACTCTAGAAAAGCATTCACGCCTTCATCATATGCAGTTGATAATCTACTAAAGGACATCCATAATTTATCCATTAAACATTTGTTTCCAACCTACATAATTATCTACCATTTAAAGCAACAATGATTATGCATGTATATGGACAAAAACTGTGCAAAAACAAAACTGTACAAGGACCAAAACTGTACAGGGACAAAAAAACTGTACAGGGGCCAATCTTGACAAAAACATTGTTCAGGGGCCAATCAGATGTCAAATACAGATGGTCAACACACAGAAATATAACATTCTGATGAGGGGAGGTGCATTATTTTTTAAATTTCTCGAGACTATACTTAAAAGAAAGAAAAAAGAACTGATTTTGTGAAGAGAATTGCTACCAAGAGCAATGGAAAAAGCTTTCTGGGATGGAATCTCGGATTCTATAAAACAGGAAAAGTACACTTTATTTCTTTATTTTCCAGTTTATATTTAACTTTTATTTATTTATTTCTATATATTTTTTTATGTCATCGGTTATGTAATTAAAGTTGTCTTCTTATCTTTTTCTGTATTGACTTGAGCAACTATGTGATGCAATGATTTTCAACCATGACCCACCAAGATGTTTTGATTGCTGGGTAATGTATACATATAGTCTATTTAGAACTACATTTATTGGTGATATTTTTTATGTTAATAATTTGCTAAATAGCTTTATTTTTTATTTTTTGCTATAGTTCTAGTTAGTAATAAAGATTTATATTGCCTCTTTACAAGAATGTATGATCATTAGGATGTTTTCTTCTTGTTTCTTTTTCTAATAATATTTCTTGTCTCTTCCACTATAAATCCTATTGTAAATTGTTTATTATGCTTCTATGATTTGTGAAATAGGGAAGACATTACTTGGAAAGACTCTAGCTCGTTTTGTTAATGTTCCATTTGTTGTAACATACACGTTTTGAAATCGTGTTATGTAATCCAAAAAGTCAAAAATATTATGAAATATTATGTGAAATTGAGTGCTGAGTTCTAACAGATAGTTTTTACGAGAAATGAAGTAAAACTATGTTTAGACTCACTCATAAATTATTGGAAGTCTTATGAGATTCTAATTAAAAGCCAAATAGTGAAATTTAGTGAAAATATAAAATTTTAAATAAGTAAATTTGATTATTGAAAGTTGTAGATAATCTCGTTAGAAACATGTAGGCGAAAACCTCATCGAAATCCGAGTTATAACGAAGAAGTTATGACCAATCGAAGATTCGAGATAAAACCGGCACGGTGCCGAATGACGTAAAAAGTGAGTTTTTGATAAACTACTTTTTAGCCTTAGTGATCTAAATGAAAGGCGTAGTATTCGTTAAACCGAGAACTTTGATAAAAAGAACGCCAAAATCTGACTTCGTATGAGGAAGTTATGATTTTTACAAGTTTCAGCTTAGCAGTAAACAGCTAAAAACTTGAATTTTAGATCGAGTGATTTTCAGCCAACACAACCTAAACGAAAATCGA